ATAAAATAAATAAAAAGATATATTTTAAGATAAAATAATGGCAATTTTTTTTTTTTTTTTTCTCGAATGCTATCTTCTTTAATTCAATTTTATTATCATATAAATTGATATGTGAACTTCATTACGCGAGAAGGTTAATCACGCAATCGTACCCGTAAGTATATAGAAACTTGGCGGATGATGAGCCGCACGAGATAGTAAATGTCGCTCAAATTATCCATCATCGATCGCCACTGAATAATCATTACGAATTCGATTAAACGGCGACTTGTTTCTCGTGGATGGAGTGGAAATTTGTCAGACCATCTTGTTGCTCTATCGACTGCCCAGAATTTGACAAAAGATTTCCACCTATATCGAAATTACATATTGTCATTTGTTACCGTACATATCGTATATCGCGTTCCTCTTCTTAACTTCTATTTCTATTTCGATATGAATATATGTATATGTATATATTACATTGAAAAAAATTTTAACTAAGGTTCGATGTTATCTTTTGAATTCAATTTGATTTATTTTCTTTAAAATATTTTTTATTATTTTCAAATACCAATTAATATCGAATGATTCATTTATAAAAAATTTTCCAACAGAATTTTTTATATTCACGTGTGAAATTCACGAATGAAGTCACGGAAAATCGATATGATTTCGAAAGCATTGAGTCATTCTTGGAAAAATATATCTCGGTATTTCCTTGATAATTCAAAATGTCAATTTGCATCTTGATTTACATATTTTACGAAACATTCGCAATGATCGTGTTGTTTCCATTGATTTAAGAAAAAAAAAAAGAAAGATGATCATGGCATTATAATTTTAACATCTGCATGAAATTTCCTTTCTTTTTTTATCTCTTCTCTTTTTATTTTTATTCTCGATCGAAATTTTTAAGAAATATTCACCACTTCGTTTCATTTTCTTTCGTTTCTTTTTTTTTTTATCTTTCTTCCTCCTCTATCTTTTCTTCAAAATGTGCTCGTATCGCATTGCATCTACGAAAGTAATACGCGCGATTTTTTATGCTTTTACAATTTTTTTATTCTTATCCAAGCTGATAAAGGAGAACACGTTGATTACAATTCTTTATCGTCGAGCGAAGCTTTGAAGCTTATACACGTTTTACGAATGATCGTTGGATTACTTGGTTTTATTGTCCTGAATTCATTACGAACCGTGATATCAGATCAATAAAACTTATCGATAAAGCGCAACGTTATTTAACAAGTTTCCGACAGAAGTTTTGTCGAATCTGTTATTAAAATATAGTTAAAAAAAAAAAAAAAAAAAAAAAAAAAAAGAAAATATTACCTTGAACAACTCATTTCTTTCTTCTTTCGTTTATTTCTAAGTGAATATCTTTGATATCTGTACACTATAAATTAATTATATCGAACAATTTACTAATATTGAATATAATTTATTTCAAGAAATTAATTTATTTTTTTCAATATAAAAATTTTATCAAAAAAATAAAAAAGGATTTTTAATATTTCTAAGAATTATAAATACATGGAAATTTTTAATTTAAACATATATTTCTTCTCAATTGCCATTTATTTACCATCATATGAAATGTCCTAAAAAATTCAAGCAATTAAAATTTTTTCAATTACTACTCAAAGCTATAAAATTTTATTTCTTCAATTTTCATTTCATTAAAAAGTCATTTGTCATTCTGTCAAAAAAAAAAAAAATCAAAAAGCTTTAACAAACTATTAATAAATATTGGGAGAAATAAAAAAGAAGAAAAGTTTGAAGAAAAATCAACATGTCATCAAAATTGTGTCTCTTTGATTTTTCTCTTTGATTTTTCTTTTCTAGAATATACTTATAGTTTTTTATTCAAAATTCATTACGGAAATCATCAATTCTTACGAACTGTGAATATCTCTCATGAGATGCAACACGTGCAATATTAGTATTATGCAGGTAATAGCTCGACAGGACTGACGATGAGATGAAGTTTTAGGTGTACGAAAGAGAACGTCTGCGTCGATCGTATCTAATCGACGCTCGTGTTACAACTCGAGTTTTATTTCGCGCGAGTCATTCGTTGCAGTATCTTGCTAATACAAAATCAGTTAAAAGGTATCTTACCTATCTTTAACCCTTTCGATAGTAAGCCATTATTATTAATTTTTCTAAATTTATTTCTTTTAATTCCTTTTTTGTAGAAAAATTTTGTAAATCAATTATTATTATAAACATGATTATTTTAAAATTGCATTTTTTAAATTTCTTGATATTTGATATCCACTCTCGCTCTATCCACTTGATATTTTGAATTAATTCACTTATTTGAAGAAATTTGAGATTTTAATCTTTTAAAATTTGTTACCTCGATGAAAGGGTTAATAAAAAATAATGGTTTGATAGATAAAAGTAATATATACGATAAAAAAAAAGTAACCTATTTTTTTCGATTAAATTATTAATTCTTTCGGATATTTTATCCTTCTTACAATTTTTTCCATTGAAAACGAAGTGAAGTGAATTATTTTTTCCTTTGTGAAAAAGTGTCTTTAGGATGATTTATAAATTGTGCTGTACTTTTGCCAGTGTTTTTTGATGGATCGAAATGACATTATCGTAGTTTTGTTAAAGCAACAATAACGAGAAAAGAAGGAAGAAAAAAACATGAAAAATTTTGCGATGACAATTTCTATTCTTCCGAGCTATGATTTTTTGCACGAAGAATGATAAATAAATCATTGGAAGAATTATCTGACAAGATTGTTGGAGATTTAGAAATAATCTCTCGAGATAAAGAATAAATTTGACAATTTCAGAGAGAGTATCAGAGCCATGGAGAAAATCGAGAACGGTGTTTATGTAAGAGATTTTTCTTTTTAATAAGATGAACAATTTGGAAACGAAGTTTTGAGTTAACAAATAGAATATATTTACAGAAGCAAAATGGTTACACGAACGAGGTTTTCCAGATGGAAAATATTCCTCCGGGACAAAGAGAAAATAATCAGAAAATGAAAGAAGAGGATGCGAAAAATATTTCCTCCGTATGTGACTTGTTTTTCTTCAATTTCTTACAGAAAAATTGTTAAAAATTAATCGATTGTAAAATTAAGCAAATAGTTAACATAGTTTTAATAGGAAATATTTCAAAAAATTTTCGTTTATTTCATTGTGATATCTTGGGCCATCATTTTAAAAAATTTTAACTTCACTTTAACATATAGGAGTTTCGTTTATTTATTTTCAATAAAAATGTTTGCATTAAATTTATCTTTGTATTATATCAATGGTATTATCATTGTGTTAATTTTAAACAAAAAATGACAAATTGTAAAACAAGTCAGAATTAATATTTACATTACATTGAGATTTCTATTCAAGGTTTCTTTATTTTTTGCTTTTGGGATTAAGAAATAACTGTTAATTATTTATTTTCCATTACTATGTAAAATATCAACAATTATAATGAATTTCCATATTATTTCCATTCATTTTCCAATATTATTTCGAATCATTCCTTATTTCTTACTTATTTCACTTAGTTCATCATTCTATATGTTCTTTATTCTTCTTAATACAATTATAATATTATTAAACAAAATCTTCTTTTTTAATCGTCTTATGTATTTTTCTTGTTGGCTGTTGTGCATTTTCATTATCATTTGTTCAAACTAATTAGAGTATCATCTGAATTTATTTTTGTTATCAATGCAATGAAATACTTATTATCTTCAACACGTGCTTTTACACACTCATTTTTAACATTCTATTTATCTTGTCAGATTATCTGAAAGATAGAAGACTCGAGTAAATTATCTTACCATTATTCTATCCATTTCTTCTTTATTTTCTTTTTCTTTATTTTTATTTTCAAACATCATGTTTTAGAGGGCGGAATGGGGAGGAGGATTACAATTTTTAATGGCGTGCATCGCTACTTCCGTAGGCCTTGGAAACGTGTGGAGATTTCCCTTTACCGCCTATGAAAACGGAGGAGGTGCTTTCCTAATACCTTACGTTATCGTTTTGATATTCGTCGGGAAACCTTTTTATTTTTTGGAAGCTCTTCTCGGCCAATTTACCAACAGATCATGCGCGAAGACGTGGGGCATGGTACCAGCCATGAAAGGTGATTGATGGCCAACAGAATTTCCAAACTTATCTTAATAATTTTTAAAATAATTCTTCCTCTAATGTATCTGATCAGATTTTGAAAAAATTATTTTAAAAAATATTTTTAATCCTTAAAAATTATTATCAGAGGAGATTGTATATAAAATAAAATTTGTTTGAGATGAAATTTCACAATTTGACAACTTGTTAAGGTTTGAATAATTTTTAAACGTTTTCTCCCTATAAAAAGATTAGACGTTTTAATTTTTACAAGTGGAATTTTAGGTTTGGGATACGGTCAAGCATTCGCAGCGTTTTGCGTTCTTACCTATTATTGCTCCTTAATGGGTTTAACTCTTTATTATCTCGTGGCTAGTTTTCAATCTGAGTTACCTTGGTCTTACTGTCGAGAAGAATGGAAGGATTATTGCGTCGATACAGTTTCGAAGGATAACAACTTGAATGGGAGTGCCAGTTTATTGACTATTTATAACGGCACCTTTCGTAGCTCTGCAGAACTATATTTTAGGTATGTTGATGGATATTTTTATCTCCTAATCATCGGTCCATTTTTATTCTACAAAAATTAACAATAATCTCTTCAACGTTATGTTTCGTTTCATATTTTTTCTCTCAACCAACAATAATTATTTAAACATTCGATCTCTAATAATAACTAACAGTGTACTCAATTTAAAGAAATGGTAAAATCAATTTCACAATAATAAAACAATGATTTCAATTTTTGCAATTCTTTAAAAATACTTCCACATTCCTGATTAAATTTTCAGAAAGATCGTCCTGAACGAGTACGAATCCATCGAAAATGGAATTGGAACACCCTCTTGGCAGCTCATGATCTGCCTCTTCATAAGTTGGGCAACGATCTTCTGCGTCCTGTGTCGAGGAATAAAAAGTACAGGGAAAGCTGTGTACTTTCTCGCTATATTTCCATACGTTATCATGACAGGTTTATTGATCAGATCGGTGACCCTCGAAGGAGCGGTGAACGGAATTCTTTTCCTCGTTACGCCGGATTGGGACAAATTGTGGCAACCGAATGTTTGGTACGCCGCCATCACCCAATGCTTCTTCTCCCTTTCCGTTTGCTTCGGCCCGATCCTTACTTACTCGTCCTACAACAATTTCCAACACGCTCTTGGCAGGTGAGATTTTCCTTTTTTTCTTTTCTTTTTAATTCAAATTCCAATTGAATATACTATAGATTATTTAGAAAAATCGTAGTTTAAATAATCGATTTTAACAGCAAAGATTAATCTATAAGAAAGACTATCGAATTATGAAGATTTTCGAATTGTTATTTTCTTTATTTATTTATATAATACTTAATATGTAATAAATTTCTTTTTTTTTTAAATTTGAGTATTAATATTCTAATAATTATTATATATTTTATTCTAATAAATCTACATTGTTATTATATTTATTCAAATTTTCAAAAGAAAGGAGGATTAAAAAAAAGTTATTTTACTTTTCGAAAATGCACTTACTCGTTAGATTCTATATAATAATTCACAATTTTTTTCGTTCGTTCATTTCAGGGACGTATTGATAGTGACCACTCTGGATACTTTCACCAGCCTAATAGCAGGATGTACGATTTTTGGCATTCTCGGCAATCTGGCCCACGAATTGGGTAACGCGGATATATCAAAGGTGGTTCGTGGTGGTACAGGGCTGGCTTTCATCTCTTATCCGGAAGCGCTGTCCCAGTTCAATTTTGTCCCACAACTTTTCGCCGTCCTGTTCTTCATTATGATGTTCGTGCTCGGCGTTGGAAGCGCTGTCGCTCTTTGCGGCGCCATTTTTTGCATCCTTTGCGATCATTTCCCGAATACGAAACACTGGCAGCTGGTCTTTATTCTTTCCGTTTTTGGATTTCTCGTTAGCCTCGTCTACGTTACACCTGTGAGTATTAAAATAAGATTCAACGACAAAGGATATCGAAGATTTTATCATTTTATTTATATGTCCAAATATTTTCAATCGATTCTTCTAAATTTTATTTGCACTCATTTCCCTTATAAATTCCACGCATTTTAACTTGACTTTAAATTTTTATCATATCGTTTAAAATATTATGTTAATTATATATTTTATTTAAATATTATGTTTAATTAGGGTGGGCAATGGTTCGTAACTTTGGTCGATTATTATGGAGGTACCTTCGTGGCGATCATCGTCGGTGTCTTGGAAATGATAACAGTGTTCTGGATCTACGGTTTGTCGAATTTTATCAACGATGTCGAGTTCATGCTTGGTAGAAGACCGTCATGTTATTGGAGATTGTGTTGGGCTTTTATTACACCCATATTAATGATCGTTATTCTGATCTACACGGTCGTCAGTTATGAGTCGCCTACTTATGATAATATGCCATTTCCAGATTATGCTTATGGTTGGTGTTTCCATTTCATTTTCATTTTTTTTTTTTTTTTTGATACATTCAATATTTTTACCTATATAACATTATAATACGATCAATTACATCGATATTTAATCGATTATAAATAGGTATAGGATGGTTCCTACTAACTTTGGCACTTTTCGTGATCGTTGGCTGCATTTTGCAGAAAATGATACAGTTAAGATCGTCGTCTATAATCGAAGTGAGTAATACAATTTAAATTTATTCAAATACATCCAGATTTAATACGAGATTGTTATATATAGGTATATTTTATTATATATATATTAAACTTTTTTTCTTCCTTCAATTTTGAATCGTAATTTGTTTTCCAGACTATCAAAGCAGCGTTCAAACCCAACGAGGAAAAATGGGGCCCCAGAGATCCTAATATTCGGTCAGAGTGGAAGGAATTCGTTGCTTATAAAAATTTCCAAAATAGAGGCGGTTTTGTCAAGACTTTCTTAAAATAAAATTAAATCGATTAAATCTATACGTGTCTGTCTAATTTAATGTTCCTCCTTATTTTCTTTCCCAAGTTCCTTTCAAAAATAGATATTTACTCTAAAAAACACACACAGAGATAATGAAAAGTTTACCGAGATCATTAAAAATAAATGAAAAATGAAAAAATTTACATAATAGATTCAGACAGATCGATAAATATAGTTCAGACTTGCAATAGATTCCAAAGTAAATTATTCACAAGATTAAACGATCGATTCGAAACGAAAAGCAATTTTTTATATATTAATTTGCATAGCGGTTGTACTCGAGAATAAGCATCCAATTAGTATAAGTAATTAAACAAGACGTTGAAAAATCGTTGAAATTTATTGAAGCGTCAGGACATTAAAATGTTTTCACGATTCACGAATTATTTCCTATTTTTCTACACTGAATAATGAAGTTACGTAATGAAGAATTCCTTTTGGAATTCCTTCACAATAAAAACTAATCAACTATATATAGAAGCATAGTAATTAATTATAATCTCGCGCATTCTCTAATACGTATAAGATTTATCGGATATAATTTTGAAATTAAGCATAACTCGTGATGGACGTTTGCTAATATAAACTTTATTACAATTTTTCTCAATTGAAGATGTGACGTGTACTTTTGTTAGAATGATATTTAATAACACATGATATATTGCGAGGAGATTGTTATTATTACTAACTGATAAGTCAGGAAATATTTATATCTTTGTCTTGTCCGTCAATTTTTACGTCTTAAATTTTTTAAAATGTAATTTGGACGTAATTGGTTCTAATATAATTTTTTAATCTCTTTATTGAATTTTAAGTTGAAATATAAGAAAAATAAGACGACTTTAATTATAAAATATTCCGTACTGATTTTCCTCTAATTCTTATTAAACAAAAATATGTTCCATGTTGATTGTATCAAATATCAAAATTATTAATTTCGAATATAATAGTGATGCATCGATAAGAATTGTGCATCGATGAATGGATTTATATCTTATAATTAACTTGTGTATTTGAACAGGTATAAACATCTATGTGCAATTAATATATGTTAACTAATACATTACAAACACAATGCCAAATTTTTAAATTGAAAATGGTAGAAAAGTTACTTACTCTAACATTCTGCCTATTGCATTGATTCGAAGAATCTTCGATAATTTAATATATATATATATTTCATAAATATTTATGAAATTTATTATATAGTTATATTATATAGTTACATATAATATAATTCCAAGACACTTCAAGTATTCCAAGTACTGTATTATTAAGAAAGGAATTTGAAGGAGAGAGAGAGAGAAAAAGAAAAGATTTCTACTTTAGAAAGGAAAGAAATATTGACAAAGAGAGGAAAGAGATTGAAAGATAATAATGAAAGAAGATGTATATCTAAGAGAAAAGATTTGGATTTGGAAAATATAGCACTACGTGTTATTTTCCAGATTTCTCATAGCATAAATCGTTTATGCGAGTGTACAATTCTCTTCAGTCTTCTAAACGCTCTTGCCACGCAAAGATCGCGCTTTAGATCCCTGGTCAACGATTCACGATACGTAAACGGATGGACAAGTGATTAGTGATTATGCATTGCACAAAGGTTTGCAATTTTCATTGCAATTTTTCGTATCGTGATCATGAGTAAAATCTATGTAAATTATCGAAAATATGATATGATGATGTATTAAATGAATCGTACAAATTCAATTTGTTCGATTTGTTCATTTCACGGTGTGATCGTGAATATTTCGTTAAAATGGAAATTTGATTGAAACGAAAATTATTGTTGTACGCGTGTTCATAAAATTGAAGAAAGATTAATATAAATGACATCTTGGAAATTGTTGGTCGAAATATCGTGTAATTCGCAACAGCTTAATCTAAATTGCAGTTGTAAAATTTTATTACTAAAACACTTTTCTTTATCTTGGTCTTTATCTTCAATCCATCATTAATCTAAAAAATTTGAAACGTATTAAAAATATAATAAAAAAATTGTCGAAATTATTAAACAATATTAATTTATCGATAGTTCTCATTACTATAATTTCTACCGTAATTTCAGAAAAGTGTTTGACAAGAAATAAGAGGGGAAAAAAAAAAAAGAAATTCGTAAAAAAAATTTTACATTTCTCCTTATCATTGAATCAAACAACTTTTCCTTCGAAATTTCCTTTATTACCGTGTTTCTTTTATCTGCCTATAATTACTCGGAATATTACTACGCGATTACGTAAAACTGCACGTTAAACGAGAAATTTTTCACTGCTTATTGTTAGCAAAACGTGAAATGGTATGGTAAAAAAATGAATCGAATATATAGATTTCACATTGCAGAACAGTTTTGTCAACAACAACGATGGCGTGGAAGGCTCCTATAGACTTTCTGT